CGATGCACATCTTACTGCCATGAAGCGAGTTCTTCGCTATCTCAGTGGCACTGCCACTCACGGGATCCATCTGACACGATCCGCCACCGATTATTTACAGGCTTACTCCGATGCTGATTGGGCTGGCTGCCCTGACACCAGACGCTCCACATCAGGTTATTGTGTTTTTCTGGGCGACAACCTCGTTTCCTGGTCTTCCAAACGCCAGGCCACCACCTCTCGTTCTAGTACCGAGGCAGAATATCGGGCCGTTGCCAATGCAGTTGCAGAGACCTGCTGGATCCGGAATCTACTTCTTGAGCTGCAACACCCAATTCGTCGCGCCTCACTCGTCTTCTGTGACAACGTTAGTGCTGTCTACCTATCATCAAATCCGGTGCAACATCAACGCACCAAGCACGTCGAGGTTGATATACACTTTGTACGCGATAAAGTGGCCCTTGGGCAGATCAAAGTCCTTCATGTTCCTTCATCCTCTCAGTTCGCCGACATCTTCACAAAAGGATTGCCCTCTCTTTTATTTCTGGACTTCAGAGAAAGCCTGGGTATCCGACCCCCAGCACATCCGACGTAGCCGGGAGCATGTTAAATATATTAAATATATTTAATATTATTGTATTATGATTTGTTTCCATACTTGTATAGCTTTCCTAGAATACCTCTCCTACCATAACTAGGATTGAGATGTTGTATATATATACATGTACTCCTCACATAATTAATCCAAGGAAAATACAATTCTTCAGAAAGAACGGTACTGCCTGGGAAGGAGCTTCGGCTAATAATTGGACGCGTGTCATCCGAGGTGTAAGCAAATTAGGAGCCTTAAGTTGCCACGTGTCATCATTCTAGGCTATCAACTCTCAAATATTATATTAAAGGATTCCAAGAAAAGAGTCTCGGATTCAAAGATGGAAGCAAAAGGGGTGGAGCTGCACCAGCTTTCCAGCAACCCTAGAGAGAGAAGGGAAGGGGTGAAATTGGAGGTATGAGAGGAGGGTTACATACTTTTGGCCAAATTTTCACTCAAAAAATCTATTCCCCCCAATTTTACATATATTATCCAAAGTGAAATTAGAGGCAGGTGAAGGAGGGATACAAAT